TGGTTTCCTCATTTTGGAAGGAAGAAAATGGTGAGTGTTTAAGGCGAAGTCATTTGGAGATTGAAGAGCTAGAAGCCGAGGTTGATATCTCATAGCTCAGATATCTCAAATGTCAATTACTCATCATTTACAATGGAAAGCAATAAATATCTGAGGCAAAGGATAATTTGGCAATCCTATATATTTGGCTTCAGCATGTGTTTTGACTTTTGGCAAGGAGGTTGAGGGGCAGGGAAGCTATCCTTGTAGATTTTCTTAGATTAATACAAATCTAAAATGTTACCATTGCCGAGTTAACATTGACCTGTGGGAAACAGGGCCCCTCAAGCATGTGATGGGAAAAAACTAAAATTGGGATTAAACATTTGTTTCAAATAATAATATCCATGTGGGCAACCTATACACAAATAAGAGGTAATTGTTCCTGATGCTTGAATGGGGCTTATATTCAGTCTCTTATTTCATGTCATGCGTGGAAGAAGGCCTGTTGGTAGTGGTTGCTTTCTCAAGATCTAGTTAAAAGGGGCTCGGTGTGCAGCAGAGATAGAAAGTAGAGCCTTTGGTGGTAATTCAAGTATGCAAAGGGACTACTCCACAAGCCATGGGCCCATCTGTGCATATGTCTGCACACACACACACACACACACAGGTGTGCATTCCCCCTCGTGTACTCACGGATGCCAGAGCTGGCCCTTTCCTACAGCAGTCCTGGCTACCTTGACATCCTGCTCAGGTGAGTAGTGAAAATTGATCCCCTGCCCCGTCCAAAACTCTGGTTTTCATACATTCGCCTATGGTTTTTGTGAAAGAAATAGAATTGTAGCCTAATTGCACAGCTTCCAGTAGCTTCCCTTGCCCATTAACTTGGACAGTTGCTGAACCGAGTCAAGCCTGAAAGTGAGCACAGATTCACCTTTACGTCTGCATGATTCTGTGAAATCTATAGTTCCAGGGAAGTTTAATGGTAGCTTGATTAGCTGTTTCAGCACATAATTAGGGACAAGAAGGAACATCTAAGGGCAACAACCAGTAATTGCCAAGGGAGGAAGGAAAGGGGAAAAAGATCGTTGTTGCTGGTTTTCAAATTTTTTTTGTGCTCTGATGCTTAGCTGACACAGACCTGGTGGGCCCAGCTGTGGGTTCTTAAGACAAAGCAAAGACTTTTGGTCTGATTTAGAGAATGAGTTTATTAATCCCAGGACTCAAATCAGGAACTCTGCCCTGAGCCCCTGGGTTTTCAGGGCGTTTTCCTTCCTCCACGTGCAGCCTGCATGCTCCTGTCACATCACACTGTCTCTTATGCTTCCTCCCTGTGTGTGGGGGGACCTCTTTGAAATGGACGCTGTTTTTTTTTTTTTTTCTGTATCCTGTGCCTAACATTGTGGCTAGCACATAATAAGCAATTCAGATTTTAAAAAATGGGCCAGGTGTGCTGGCTCACACCTGTAATCCTAGCACTTTGGGAGGCTGAGGCAGGAGGACCGCTTGAGGCCAGGAGTTTGAGACCAACCTGGGCAAGAGCGAGACTCCCATCTCTACAAAAAGTATGAATAGTTAGCTGGGCATGGCAGTGCCCACCTGTCGTCCCAGCTACTCAGAAGGCTGAGGCAGGAGGGTCGTGTGAGCCCAGGAGTTTGAGTTTGCAGTGAGCTATGAGGAGGTACCACACGCTAGCCCATGCAAAAGAGATCCTGTCTCAAAGAGAAACTTTTTTTAAAAAATGGAATTCTTTTTTTCCCCTCTCTAAACTTCTAACACCCTCCACTGAGGTAGGAGCTGTGAGTACATGGGAGCACATCACACATCTGAGGGAAATTTTAGTTGCATGGAGGGAGGCAGCATATCGCGGGGATTAAGGGCATGACCTCCAGAGTCGTACTGCCTGGGTTTGTACCCAGCTCTGCCTCCTACTAACTGTGTCACCTAAGGAAAGTCTTAACTGCTCTGTGCCTCAGTTTCTCACCTGTGAAATAGGATAATAGGTCCCATTCATAGAGTTGTTAGGATTAAATGAGTTTATATATGTAAATGCACACACACATAGAGTGCTTCAAACAATGCCTCTTGGAACAATGGTACAATATAGCTATTACTTGTGATCGTTGATATTATTATTGTCATTGTTATTAAAGTAACCTGGTGGACAGTTTCCTGTTCCCTGCTGTCCTCCAGCAGCCCAGAGCTTTTCTGGGGGATGCCATTGTTGACAAGGATCTGATTTGGTGGAACAGGGATTGTGGCCAAAGATGTACACATTAATAAAATTTAATCCCAGCTAATAAAAACTTGAACTTGGAATCCCAATCACCCTCAGATAAAGGCCCAATATCTTAGGAAGAACTGGCACCTTCCCTTATCCCCTCAGCCTTTAGACTCCTGAAGGTAAATACTCTGTTCTTTTGTAGAAATGATGGCAGCAAGGGGAAAGTTGCAGATTCAGATACTAGAAGGAAAAAAAAAATACTGCAACACAAACAAATGGGGAAAAGGTTGAGATTTGCATGCTATCCACTTACTGAAACGGATCCTTCTGTGTTTTCTTTCTTTAGACTATCATTACCTCTTATCTGGTCTATCTCAACACAAGTGTAACAGGTCCTCTCCGATTCATATTACACTGATTTTAGTTGAGTGGCCCTAGAGCTGGTGTTCTCAACTTTGGCTACACATTGGAATCATGCAGGGAGCTTTAAAAATTATTGATATCCACACAAAAATTCTGATGTACTTTGTTTGGGATGTGGTCTGAATATTAGTTTTTTAGTGTTTTTGGTTTTTTTAGAGACAGGGTCTTACCCTGTTGCCCAGGCTGTAGTGCAGTGGTGTGACCAGAGCTCATTGCAACCTCAAATTCCTGAGCTCTAGTGACACTCCTGCCTCAAAATCCTGAGTAGTGGGGCTACAGGCATGTGCCACAATGCCTTTTTTTTTTTTTTTTTTTTTTTGGTAGAGGCATGGTCTCACTATGTTGTCCAGGCTGTTCTTGAACTCCTGAGCTCAAGCCATCCTCCCACCCTGGCCTCCCAAAGTGCTGGGATTACAGGCATGAGACACTGTGCCTACCTGGCATTGAGATTTCAAAAGCTCCTCAAGTGATTCTGCTGTGCTATCAAGGTTAAGGACCACTGCCCAAATGTGTACACAAATCACTGGGGATCTTGTTAAAATGCAGATTCTGGCTTAGTAGGTCTAGGGTTAGGGTCTGAATCTGTGTTTCTAACAGGCTCCCAGGTGATACTGATTTTGCTGGTCCATAGACCATACCCTGGGTTCAAGGGCTTGGAGAGCATGATAATATGATTCCCTAGCTCTATAACAACATGGAATTTCTTTTATCTACATAATAAAATGCCTCATCCTGGGATTTTAGACTGGCAACAGAGGCATTTATGGCCCTCTAACAGCAGTGGTTTTCAAATGTGATTGATCATCTGAATGACTCTTGGGTAGGTTTTTGAAAAATACGTATTCCTGGGTCCCACACCAGACCTGCTAAATCACAATATTCAAGGTGCAGCCCACCCAGTGTATTTTGAAAACGCTTTCCCAGTGGTATAGATGATTGACAAGCTTTAGGAACTACAACACGCTTGCAATATAGTTTTCCAGGCTCATTTTCCATTAATTCAACCAAAAAAACATTATTGCACCTGTTTCATACCAGGTACTAGAGAAACAAAGATGAAAACAGTGTCATCCTCACCTTTGAGGAGTTGGCAAGATAAATGACCATAACTAGAATATGTACTGTTTCCCAGACATGGTCTAAAATGTCTGTTTCCCAGACATGGTCTAAAACTCATACCTCTGCTAAAGGTCTTCTTTTGAGAATGCCTGGGTCCCTCAGCACCCTATCACTGCCTGTGTTCATCAACCAAGCCAGACCCTCTTTATCCCACTTGTGACTCCATACTTCTCTCTTCAAACTTACTCTGCTTGATATTAAAATAGACCCAGAGGAAGAGAAAGGACTTACCCAAAGTGAAACAATAGTTGACATTTATACAGTGAGTTGTATGTGCCGACCATTGTTCTAAGCGCTTTATATATGTAATCTATATATAGATTATGAGAGAATATATATAATATATATATTATGTGAGAATACATATATTCTCACAATACCCTTATGAACTGGGTTTTATTATTATCCCCATTCTGAGGATGAGAAAAGGGAGAAACAGAAAAGTTAAGTAACTTGCCCAAAGGCATACCAGGCAAGGTTTACCCTTAAGCCTATGCTTTCCTGCTAAGTTGGTGACAGGGCTGAAATTTAGAATACTGTAACTTCTCATCCTCAGGCCTGAGCACTTTCCTGGTTATCAGTTATTTGTGTGCCTGTTTCACAACTCAGATTCAAGTATGAGGGCAAGGACGATGTTCGACATCTCCCACGGTGCCTAGTTAGGGTGCAAGCACTTAGTAGGCGCTCGATAAATGGTTATTGGATGCGCTGTCCCATCAAGGGGAGAGGAGGAATGGGTATTAATTTAAACCGACAGACAACAACAGATAAACCAGAGCAACGGCCTGTAGGGCCCACGTCACCACTAGATCCCTTCTCGCCCGCCCCCCCACCCCGCCAGAAGAAGGAACGTCCGGCGCCCGGCTCCGGCTCTGCGCTCCGTCCTCCCGGCCAGCAGGTGCCCCTAGACCCCCGCTCCTCCTCCGCCGCCGCCGCCGCCGCCGGCACCGCCTCGTCCTGTCCCCCGCGCTGCGCCGCTTCCTGTTGCCGCGACCCGGGCCCTGAGCTGTGGGCGCCCGGGCGCCCGAGGCCGGCCGGGGCGCTCCGCTAGGTAACAGCGGAGTGGGCGGGTGGGCGCGGACCGGCCGGCCCCCGGGGGAAGGAGGCGGGCAGACGGCCGCCTGGCCCCGCAGGGAGGGGGCCTCCTCCGGCCTCCGGGCGCCGCGGCCTCCCCGCGCCAGGCCGCCGGGCCCGGGATAACGGTCTGCCTGGCCCGGGCTCGCGGCCGGCGGTCGCGGCCCTGCGAGACGCCGGAGGAGGCTGCCGCTCGCCGCCAGCCACGCCTGCTCCGAGGCCGGCCGGGAGCCAGGGGGCCGGCCCGGAGCTCCCGCCCGCCGGGCTGCCCTGGGACGGGAGGAGCCGGGAGAGGAGCCCGCCCCAGACTTTAGAGCTGCGATGGCCATCCAAATACCCTGCCCTGCTTTGACAAAACCGAGAGCAAAAAGCCGAAACCCAGACACGGAGTTCCCAAGGTCACAGAGTTGTAGCTGCCATTTACAAATGTCTGTTCTTTCATTTGTTTTTAAATGGGCCACTGTTTCCTCCATTCTGCCAGGGAATTAGGATTCAGAGAAGAGGACTCTAAAAATACTAATCGGCATATCCAAATGAGCTGATCCGCATTACTGGCCAGTGACCCTGGCATTTAAAAGAGAAATAAGGGAGGGCAGTTCTTTTCACTCTAGGTACTTTGTATTTCTGTCCCTCACTATGAAAATTGGCCTAGATGTTTTACAAAATTTATCTCAGAAATCCATGTCAAAACTGGACCAGACTATAGAGTTCTTAAATCCTTTTCCCTTTCTTTCCTTTCCCTTTCTCCCTTCCTCTCCGTCGTCCTCCCCTGTCCCTCCTCCTTCTCCTCCTCCCTCTTCCTTTTATTTTTTATTTTTTTAGAAAACTGAGGCTAAACTGAGGTTAAAGTGATTTGGCCCCACTCCTACAGCCAGATAGGGGCAGAGACAGAATTGGTACTTGGGTCTGTTATGAACACCTACCATTTTCTTGAATGAAAATCTGATTTCAGATGAAGGCTATACAGAACTTGACCTTCATAAACCCCTTTGTGGATAGCATTCTCAGGAGTGGCTTGTGTATTGAAGTGTGTTGGTCCACAGATACTATTTCACTTGTTGGAATAGGGTTAAGCAATAAGTGTAGCCATGCGGAAAATTCCTGCTGAGATGAGACAGATATCTGAAATGTTTTTGACTTTTTTTTTGTACTTTCAATAGAGGAGCTAATGAATATTAATCACTATTGGTCATTTTTAGATTTAAATCCTGTATGACTAAATTGACTCAGTTATACTTGTTCTTGTCCTAATGTAGTTGTCACTAGTAAAATTCCAAAGTGTAGTTTTCTGACTTTGTTTCATTTTTAACTGAATAATTGCCTTAAAACTATTTTTATATTTCAACAAAAACTCCCCCTCTTATGCCTCAAAATCCTTCTGCTTTCTCCCTTGGTAAATCTTTGAGTTGGATTTCAGAACCGAATAGGACTAGGATTTTTTCCCCCTTCCAGGAAGTCTGGACTCTTTTGTTTTGTTCTATATTTAGATTTACCCCAAGTTTCAATTTTGACTGATAAACCTGTGACTCAAATCCAAACCTCAGCTGAATTTAGTATGGCTTAAAAACCACATTAAACTGCGGTGTGTCATGTGACCTCTATCAGAAACCAAAGTGGCGGTGTTCTGTTTTTTTCATGATAGCTTCTCATTGGGATTTTTGCAATTCAAAGACATTATCTAATACACTGCTTTATTATGCATGTATTGTTGTCCAAGGTCAGTCATCACTGGAGGGTTGTTACTGACATTTACTCATCATAAAATGTGATGTTAGACAGCCTACCAACACAGAATACAGTCCCTGGTTTCCAGTGTACAGCTTCTACCAGTTGCCAACGTGTTATCTCTAAGGAACATGGAGTTATAAATATAGCTATACTTAGATACAAGATGCTTGGCTGTCCAGATAAGGAGAAAGTTTTTCAGTAAAAGCAATGTTTGTGTGCTATTCTATAGTAGAAATGAGGACATTTACACATAGTGACCCAATGCTGTTTTCTTACAGTGCATCCTTTGTTTTTCTGGTTTTGGTCTTTTCATCCTAGGATGGCATTAGCTCTGTGTCTGCAGGTGCTGTGCAGCCTGTGTGGCTGGCTCTCGCTCTATATTTCTTTCTGCCGCCTGAATAAGCACCGAAGCTATGAGTGGAGCTGCCGGCTGGTTACTTTCACCCATGGAGTCCTCTCCATAGGCCTCTCGGCTTATATTGGCTTCATTGATGGCCCATGGCCTTTTACTCACCCAGGTAGGTAGGAGATGGTAGGGGATTATTTCTTAGGGAATTATGATTTGGGGGTAGTCTTAGAAGGATGGGACTTTTAAACAGAATTTGTACAATATTGAAGAATAATTCCCATTATAATTTGTATTATAGTCTTCATTCTTCATTGTTAACTCTGATATTGCATATGTCACCTCTTGTTTCTGTTTTTCATAACTCTACTTTTAAAACATATATATTTTTTTGAGACAGAGTCTTGCTCTCTTGCCTAGGATAGTGTATAGTAGTGTCATCATAGCTTACTGCAACCTCAAACTCCCAGGCTCAAGCAAACCTCCAGTCTCAGCCTCCATGTAGCTTGGAAACTACAGGCATGTGCCGCCACACTTGGCTAATTTTTCTGTTTTTTTGTAGAGATGGTGTCTCACTGTGTTGTTCAGGCTGGTCTTAAACTCCTGGCCTCAAGCAATCCTCCTATCTCAGCCTCCCAAAGTACTAGGATTATAGGCATAAGCCACTATGCCCAGCCTTAAAACAAATTTTAAATTGCTTGTTATTAATACAATTTAGTCAATCAGAAGTGTACAAAACATATAGCCAATATCAACATCTTCCCACTACCAACCCCAAACAGGTACAAATAGAACTATATTTTATAAATTCTTTTGGTAAACTATAATAGTTACTCAGTTGTAACTCAAAGGACATCATCTTTCCATGTCTATGTAAAAATGATAAGATCTTTGTCCTTTTTAATTGTTCCATGTTATTGTGTTGTATGCATCTACTATCACTGATTTAACCAATGCCTCATTATTTTGGGTAGCTATACTAATTTTTAAATCACTAGATGTGGGAGTGTTACTTCCTTGAGTATGCAAAAATTGCACCCCCTGGGTACAAGTGTTGGCTGCCATCACAAAATACCACATATAGGGTGGCCTAGAAAACAGAAATTTATTTTCTCACAATTCTGGAGGCTAGAAGTCCAAGATAGAGAAGGTGCTGGTAGGTTTGATTTCTTCTGAGGCCTCTCTCCTTGGCTTGCAGATGGCCACCCTTCCACTGCGTCCTCACATGGTTACCTCTGTGTGTATGTGTGTGTGTGTGTGTGTGTCCTTCTTAAAAGGACACCAGTCATACTGGATTAGAGTCCATCCTAATGATCCCATTTTAACTTAATTACCTTTTTAAAGGCCCTTTTTCCAAATACAGTCACATTCTGAGATATTGGGGTTTAGGGATTCAACATATGAATTTGGGGGATGGAGGATACAGTTTAGCCCATAACTCCCCTTAGAATCATTTTTTTAAAAAAACTTCCTTAGATTCACATATTGAGCTTCAGGCTTTTCCCCAAAACTGTTGAACTGAGATGAAATCAACTCTTAAGCTTTGTGTTTTATATGAAGATTCTTAATGGTTCCAAACCTGTCAAGTCCTTGCAACCTGTGTTCTTACACATGTGAACACACTTCTGGGGTTCTTTCCAGAGTCTACTTTCAGAAAAGGTTAGTGCCACTAGTGTCCAATAATTGGACCCATTAAGCTACGAAATTAATCTGATGTTCAGGACAAAATGATTCAAGAGTCTGGAAACAGATCTTTAGCTGGTTTAAAAAGCATGTGCCTGCCATTGTTTTTTGTCGTCTTCACTGATTCAGTAAGATTTGAAAGACAGCAACTTAGGATCCCTATGTAAAGTAGCACTATTCCTAGTCACTCAATTCGTTTCTGTCTTGGTTTATTTCAGGCTCTCCTAATACACCCCTCCAAGTTCACGTTCTTTGTCTCACCTTGGGCTACTTCATCTTTGACTTGGGATGGTGCATCTACTTCCGGTCAGAGGGTGCCCTGATGCTGGCCCACCACACACTGAGTATCTTGGGCATTATCATGGCCCTGGTGCTTGGGGAGTCAGGCACAGAAGTCAATGCAGTCCTCTTTGGGAGTGAGATTACCAATCCCTTGCTACAGATGCGCTGGTTTCTCCGTGAAACAGGGCACTATCACAGTTTCACTGGAGATGTAGTGGACTTCCTCTTTGTGGCTCTGTTCACTGGAGTGAGGATTGGTGTAGGAGCTCGCCTCCTTTTCTGTGAAATGATCTCACCCACGCCCAAGTGGTTTGTGAAGGCTGGGGGAGTAGCCATGTATGCTGTGTCTTGGTGTTTTATGTTTAACATCTGGCGCTTTGCATGGAAGAAAAGCATCAAGAAGTACCATGCTTGGAGAAGCAGGTGGAGTGAGGAACGGCGGCTAAAACATAATGGACATCTCAAGACACATTAGCCACGACTTGCTTCAGATCATGGATTGGGTTAAGTCAGCCATGGGAACCAGGTTGGAAATATGGCTGTTATGGAATTACATTTAAACTTAGGTTTCAAAAAAGGGCTAAATTTATTGATCAATTTGGTCAGTCTTCAAGCCGAGCATACACCAGTATTAAAACACTAACTTCTACAGTGGCACAGTTGTAGACAGAGAGAACACTCAGTGGTAGCTGGGAATAAGTCAACTGTGAAGTGAGAACTACTGGCACTTTTTTTCATTCGCGGTAACCCTGGGTCCTCTTGTCCCTGGGAGCTTTGATGTTCAGACAGAAAGGAACTCGAAAAAGATTAGTGCTATTTATTGTTCCTTCAAGAAGTAATTGCTTCCACAAACAGTTATTCCTGCTTTCCGTGTAGCAATTTATGTAAGTCCATCCCATTTACTATAAAATGAGGGACTGTCAGGAAGACACATGCCTTTGGCAAGGAAGAGGGGATTGGGTCTGAAGGAGAATAGAAAAGGATGAGAGTTGAAACTGTGGCAATGGTGAGGGGGTCACTTACTGAACCTCCCTATACCAACTCTGTTGGAGGTCCCCAAGACTACCCCCAGGTTTTGTGATTCACTAAAGGACTCAGCATATAGTCATGAATAGCTTTGGTTTATTATAGTGAAAGGATACAAAGAAAAATCAGCAAAAGGAAAAGCTACCTGGGACAAAGTCTGGGGGAAACCAGGTACGAGTTTCCAGAGTCCTCTCCCAGTGAAATCACACAGGAGAATGTGCTCAGTTCCTCCGGCAACGATTTGTGACAATGTGTGAAATGGTTGTCTACTGGGGAAGGTCATCATAGACAGACTTGGTTCCTAAGGTTTTTACTGGCGACAGGTCATGTAGACAGACTCTGCTGGGCACGTAGCAAAAGTCAAGACTCTCAAAAGGAAAGCAGGTATTAAGCATACACCATACTGTTTGCACAAACAGTTTAGGCACAGTGAGCCAGTCTTATCAGTTAATGGTGGGAAGTCTCCCAAAATCTAACTTCACAGATGCCGGCTAACGGCCAACCTTGCAAGCAGGCCTTTTTAAGGATAGCAGTTGAGGCCTGCTGTGTTAACTCTTTTCTGCACAAAAACCATAGAGCTAGGGGTTTGGATTCCAGATAAATGAGGTGTGGGTAGATTTACTGAGTCCTGCTATACGGGTTCTGCCCTACCAGGAAAACTGTGCCAGTTCTCAGGGCTTTTGTGCATTAATCTCCTAGGCATTTGAGGCTATGACTAAATTCCATAGGGATTTACCATGTGGATTCCACTGTGTTTGAGATGGCAGTTCAGGTTTCAGCTCTGTTGTACATATTGCAAACTAGAGCCAAAGACTGTAAAGTGTGTACTGGCCTCAGGATGATGAGGCTAATTTTTTTTTGTTTTACTCTTTTCATTTCAGATACATTCCCTTTTAGTTTTTCTTCTTTCTCCTAAAAAGGTGCCACTCCATGGACAAACTAATATGATAAGGCCAATCTTGGAAGGAAAAAAAAAATTCTTAGTGTGATCTTATCTAGTCCGAAGTAGGACAAGCAAGAATAGAAGCTTAGAATAAGGGGTTAAGAGTCGAGAATTCTTGGGTTCTTTTAGCTAATTTTGCTACTCACTTGCCAGATCATTTGGGCAATTTGTTTATTCTCTGCCTCAGTTTAAACCTGTTGTGAATGAATGAAATACCCTGCTGTGTATTACAAAGAGATACTATGTGGCATTTTATTAAGGGAAGTCTTCAGGGCTTTTATGAAAAAATGATTATTTATGTATTTATTGTTTATTTATTTATTTATTTTTACCATGTTATTTAGACCAATAGTGATTGATTAGCTCAGTTGGTGAGCAAGGGTGTGGTGCTATTGAAGTCAAGGCTGAAGGTCAGTAGGAATGTCAGGCCATTCTTTGGTCACAGGTAATATTAAACTAATGAGTGGCCTTGAAAATGGATGTCATTAGCCACAGAAACCAGGCATGAGGGAGTAAACTGTAAAGTCATCACTGCTAAGGGAAAAGAAACTTTAAAGGCATGTTACCAATGGGTGTTTAAAAATGAGTGTCATTTGTTTAAAAACATTTGCTGGGCATTGAAATAATCTGACAGCAGCATCTCTTACGTCTTTCTTTCTATGATCAGTATCCCTAAAATACTGGTGAGCTTCTTTCCAACAAAATTGTGATCAAAGTAGGATGCTGGAGAATGCTGATTTTAGCAAAAGCCTAGCAGTAAAGAGTGGCTTGGCATATGAGCTTAAAAAAAAAGAAAAAGCTGGCTCTTGAATTTTGGCACGGTGCAACCTGTTCCATACCAGACAAATGAATAAGCTTAATCTGGTACCAATTCTTTTCTCCCTTACCCCTTAGAAGTGAAGGGATTGCAGATCTTGCTGTTTTGGGGCACTCTCATGGGAATGTACATAGGTTTTTTTGAATGATGAGAAACCTGAATAATTGATAAGGGGAAGGGAATCCCTCATTTCAGTTTTTCTTTATGTTGTAACTCATAGCTATGAAGAAACATCTGAGAGAAAAGGATGAACTGAAGATGACTCAGCAGTTAAGATGCTGAGTCTTTACACCACAGGTAAATGAAGGGCTAATTAATGTGTGGTCTGCTCAGACAAAATGAAGTACTCATTTGCACTTGGATTACTATGTAATAATAACTAACGCTGTTCAAGAAGGATTTGTATTTCAATAAGATTTGTACTAAATTTTATAAAAGTAAAACAACTTTTATATAAATCCAGAGTCTGTCTTTATATCTTTATTGGGATTTTGCCAATAAGTTAAAAAACCAAAAAGCATTTTGGCTTGTAGAAATGTTAACCCATATTTATATGTACCAGTGAAATATCTCTAATTTGCTGTTTATCATCAGTCATTCCTATTTTTTTTTATTTTGGGGCTAACAGTTGACATACAGAAAGGGAAAGAGAGGGAAAGAACTTGATTTTTTTTGCCAAAAGAGAGGGAAAGAACTTGATTTTTTGTTGTTGTTGTTGTTCTGCCACCTGTTTGGGCAGTTGCATTGAAAATGATGATTTGGAGCAAGTTGACATCAGAAACATTATCTGAAGACAGCCAGAGTTCCTGTATTCAGAACCATACTTCCAGCGCTTAAAAGAGTCTGGAACACATAGTAGGTATTTAATAAGCATGGATGAGATGATGAGAATGTGGTTTAGAATAACCCCCACTGGAAACCTACTGAAAGACCATGTCCAGTGGATTGGTCACCAATGTCACTTTTCTAGGGCAAGTGCCCCTGGGGAGGGTGTTCTACCTAGATTGGCTTAATTCTTTTGAAGGCACTCTACAGATTGAGCCTTTAGAACAATTTAGCTACTGGCAGCTGTAAGGAGGCTTTCAGGGGATTTTTTTGTTTTAATCATTAATGCTTTGTGGGTGACTATAAAGATTTTCATCATTTAAAAAAATTGGTTCTGGAATGAATAACCACTGGATTAATTCAATCCTTTGCTTACCATCTTCAGAAGCTTTCCCACAGCAAAATGCCTTCTTTGCTCACAGTTAGAACCTTGTGTCTGTTTAAGTTTGGAAGGATCTTGAAATCAGCTTGCCAAGAGGTTTTGTATGCAAGGAAGAGAAGGTGAATTAGGAAACGTTCCCAGTTTGTTTTATTCCTGAAGCTTAAGTGTGGAGGCATTCTTGAAGGAAAGAGGGGAACTCATTTTAAGATGCATGATTTGATGAGTCATTGGGTCCAATTAATTTGATACACTGTAACATTACTAGAATAGGGGAAAATAGGATGATTTAGTACGTTTGGGAAAGAATTACTAAGCTTGGGGATAAGGTTTGCATTTTGACCATTGTGTACAGATGAGTGGAATGCGTTCTGGTTATACAGACAACAATTTAACTGGGAGAGTCTTCAGGATAGAATCGTCATGCTAGGATACACCAGCAGGTGGCAATATGTCCTGGTCTGATCATTAGGAAAGTGGCTTGGAACCCTAATCCACTTCTATTCTTTCCAAAAATAAACATTACAAAATTAGCTGGCTGTGCCCCGAACTTAAAAAAAATCAAGCAATAAAGAGTCATCTTTGGCCTCTGTTTATCTTTTCCTTTTTTTTTTTTTTTTTACCCCGTCCTAACGTCAGCCCTTAGCTCATGCATCTATTTAGGGATAATGATCCTTTCATTAACTGTTGTGGAATGACTTTTAGAAACAGCATTGTTAAGAGGTAATTGTTTCCTCTCTCCACATCCACCGTTTATTAGATTTGATTTGCTACTTGATTTCCACAAAATGGCTGAAATCCCTTGCCACCCACACAGGTTTAAGCTCCAAAGTCTGAAAATAGTTGGATAAAAGGGATAGCCGTTTGCAGGCAGAATTGGAGAACGACATTGTCTGTAGTACTCAAATTGCCACAATACTGAATTAGTCAATCATAAAACTAGATGGATATCTAAATCTCTCTACCCAGTAGAAAAACAAAAGCCGAAAAAATATTTGGGAACTCTTCAGAGAGAACTGTAATGCTATTTACTGGATAAATACACTTTGTTTTCTTCTCCCATTTCTTTCCACAACGAGCTTGTTAAGTCTCTATGGAAAGCACCATACTTTCTCAATTTGGCAAATAATACATTTCATTTTGCCAAGGCAGCCTAAAAGCAATTATTTGTACCAAGAAATCCTGGCTCCCGTTCCCAAATCGTCTTTCCCTCCAGCCTTACGCGCCTCCCTGCTCCAGCCCACCCTCGTCCTCTCCGGGACAAGGCCAGCAGGTGCCCAGGTGAGCGACCAGCGCCAGACCTCTCTGTGCTGGGGTCTGCTTCACCGGGACGCTGGCCGGGCTCTGGACCTGAGCTCGCGTCCCCGCGTCAGAAACACTCGATACGTGTTACTGGAAAATACGGAGAACAAGTACATTCCCTGAAAGAATAAAAGTTTCCAGGACAAGGCGGGCGCGTAATTCCCAAAGAGCCTCTCATCCACCAACTCCTCGGGATCTGGGGGTGCTCTCTGGCGGTCTCTGGCGAAAGCTTAATACAAGCTACACGCCTAAGTGCACAACTCCAGCACTCACGGGCCCCTGGGGGTTGTGGGGTGGGAGTCCCTCGGCGGCCGGTTCCCACCTCCCTCTGCCCCGCAGAACTACTTTTTCGCTCCCCCAACCACGGCTCAGCGGAGGCGTCCGCGAGGGGGCGGCGCGCACCCGAGGGCGGCGCGCGGGACAGCGGGCGCGGGGCGGCGGAGGGATCCCGGGTGAGGCGGCTTCCCGAAGTCAGAGGGGAGGAGGCCAAAAAAGTCGGCGGGGGAGGGGAAGAGCGAGCTCGCGCTGGACGCGGCCGGGGCCGGGAAGGCAGAACCGGAACCGGAACCCGTGCGCGCGCCCGCAGTTGTCGCACGGCCCCCACCGCCGGCGGCCTCCTCCGCCGTCCACGCGCGCTCCCGCGAGGGCCCCCAGGACCCGGCGAGCCAGCCCTGCGCGGCGAGTCACCGCCGCCGCCGCCGCCGCCTCCGGGGCCGAGGCTTCCAGGCCGGGCTGGACTGGGATCTCCCGCCCCTCGCAGAACCGCCGCCTACCGGAGCGTCGGGGAGGAGCCGCCGCCGCCGCCTCCGCCGACTGCGGAAGAGTCTGGGCCTCAAAGGGATGGGGAGCAGCCCGCGGCGCTGAGAGAGCCGGGTCCCTGTCACCTCGGGTTGCGCGACCCTCTCCCCCGGCGGCCGCAGCTCGTCCCGGCGCGCGGAGCCTGGTGGGGGCGACGGGGAAGACGAGAGGGGTCCCAGGGCCCGGGGACATGGAACCGCGCGGGCCCGGCGCGGGACGGCCCGAGACGCGGCAGAGGCTGCGGCCACGAGCAGCCGGCAGCCCCAGATAGAGAGCGGGGACGAGAGGGCCCCGGTCCTGCCGCGGCGGGAGACTCCCGAGGAGGAGCCGACACCGTCCCTGAGCTGATCCCGCCCCAGCCCCGGAGGGATTCCCGGGTCCCCTTCCCACGGCTCGCAGACTTCTCTCCCTGAGGAAGTTTTCTCCTTGTGCCTTCTGGAGGATTTATCATTAGCTCTGGGACTCGCTTTCTGGCTGACTTTCTCAGGGTGTTTTGGGAGATCAGTTTTGCTCCAACCCGCACCCCTTGACCCCTTCCAATCGGATGTTCTAGATGACTGCATGGAGTTTTGAGTTGGACTTTTGTGTCCCTGACGGAGTTGGGCCTGATCCCAGAGCGCTCGGGGTGGGGTGGAGGTGTTACTGTAAAATGCAAGTTGGATAAAAGGAGGACCTCTCGCCAAGGGCCCCAATGAGTGGCACACAGTCTACTATCACCGACAGGTTGGTACGAAGTTCCTTCCTCGCTTAGCCTTCCTGGATTTGGCCCGACCTCGCAGGAGAGTCGGTGACTGTAGATTGCATTTGGCCAGTGAAGTTAGTTGACAGGCATAGGAAAGAGGGTTGTTTCGGAGCTATGCAATTAGTCTAGGGTTGCTGCCAAGTTATCCATTTGATTGAATTTGGAAATGTACTTGCCTGGAGAGAAACTTTACCCGAGATTTTCAGAGAAGGGATAGGTAAAACCATGATTGTGGTTTTCTGTCTGTAGTGTTCATTACTATTCTGTACTCATCTTGGAACCAGAGGAAGGTCATTTTGGGTGAAGGTCAGTGCCTGAAGACGGCGGGGTGTTGGTGTTATCTGTCAGTTTTAGTCCTGTCCTGTAAGTAGTACTTTAGACAGTTGCGTTTTAAGAATTTGTCTTTGTGAACTTAAGTTTGAGCCTGCTTGCATGGTGATTTGTGAACTTGATATCTTTTAAGGTGTTATCCTGCACAGTGTTTAATTATTATCTAATAATTTTCCAGAATGTTGACATTACCCGTAAATCACAGGCTCTCGCTGGAGGCAATATCCAGGAGCTGAAAGAAATGAGGGAAAATCATGGGGTTTGCTTTTAATTACTGTATTTTAATATTTCATTTTCCAGAAATACTTGGCGTTTAAGGGATATGAGACCTCAGCATAGTATAAGCGTGGCAGGTGGATTTGTTGAGTGCTGTGTTTGTCCCTTTACAGTACTTAACCAATGTTGCATGGTGGTGTGTGGTGAATTAAGCTAGATCTTAATATGTGGTTCCCTTACTCTTAAGAGCTATTCTTTTGAATAAGTTAAGCAATGAGAGCATATTCGTTCCTTTACCACATTTCATTTCATAATTTAATTATGACACTGCACTAGTCCCAAATTTTAGTCAGCTTGCTTTATTTTTAAGTCAGCCTTCAAACTATTACATTATAAGAAATAGATCAAATAACTGAATCTAGAGGGCCAACACTGATGAAAAGTGCGACAATAGTGCTCCTGCAGAAAGTAATAATTTCCTAATAATAGTTTCATCCAATTGTAAGACTCATTTGTTGATTTTAAAAGGGCCAAATTCCATTATCATACCATAACAGCTACTCCAGAAACAGAACTTCCTCTTCCTGTTGATGCTTTCCAGTGTCACATGAATGTTCACATAGAAGATTCCATTAAGTATTTAAACTATTTATATTCTTTGCATGTTCTTTAAAAAATGGGTTTTCACTTTCAATAAAATAATTTTTAATTTTTCCAAGAGTACAGGTAACATGCGTAGCAACAGTGGTTATCTTGCCTTCATCTAGTTATCCCCATTTCTTTCCTTTCAGGGTGTTTTGCTTCTGAGAAATCACTTTCAAGAGTGTGTGGATAATTTGTTTTCCTGGTTCATTCAATTCTTGCCCTTTC